GACCTGCTTTTGTTACAGCTGTGCACAGATGTCAAACACAAGTGCTGACAGCACTGACATGATTTGCAGAGACCACACCTCCTACGGCACCATCACGTCGTGCCTTTAACTCATCTACTCCTGCCAGGTTTACAATGGTAAAGTATCAAAAGTGTAAAAATGTGTTGGCATCATCCACACAGAGTGAAAACAGCATCAGCCATGCTTTCAGGGCAGCTTATAAAATAGAGGTTTGACTGATCCAGGTCACTGTGCTGTTCCTGTCAAAGCCTTCAGAGCTGGCAGGATGTCGTCTAGGTGGCTCACTCCTGTAACACACAGAGAAAAGTCAGCTCGGCCAATCCCAGCCCAGGATCCTCTTAAATCACATTACAACGAGCAGTTCACAATGATTCTGACTGCGAGCTGGAAACACCACAATCTGTTCATCTCCATGTTTCCTCAGTAATTACTGGATGAGAGTCCTGGATTTATTTCTACCAAGAAGTCATTTCTACATAAAATAAATAGAGTTGGCTGAATTCACCTAGAGTCTGTAAGATTGCTGTAACCAGGGCGTGGAAAGCAGGGAAGAACTCCTCGTGCTGCTTCACCTTCATGATGATGCTGAAAAACAGCAGCAAAGATTGAAGCAGGCCTGAGCAGCTGGTAGTCAACTAATGTGTGAGAACAGCTAACCTGTCGATATCAATGTCTCCCAGCAGCTCAGGGAACCTCGCCATGCTTTCAATGGAGGACACCAGTCTGGACACGTGTTTCACAACCTCAGCAGGAGAAACAGCCCCGTCTGACAAAACCACAGACAGCCCTGTTAGCATGCTGAATGATGCTGAATGACAGTAATCCACACTCAGTGTAACATGGAAGACTCTCCTGGTTATGGAAGCAGCATGAAAAAGAAGCCGTTATGAAAGCTGCTGCTGTGGTCAAGGTCAGGAGGAAGATGCTGGTTAGTCATCGAGAACAAAGAGTCACAGCCAGTGGAGACGTGACACTAACATAACCACACAAAAACAAAGTTGACGATACAGTTACACAAATATTCATTTTTGTCAGTCTGCCCCATCTAGTGGCCAAGGCGTGCATTAGGAGTTAACCCTTTAAGACCTACCATAG